CCCTTTTCCCCTTAAGCATGGCCTAGTGATGCCTAGATGCTATGATGATGGGAGAATGAAAAAGCAGGTAGTCACAATATTCTAAAATGACTACAATTCTAAGCCAAACAATTGGAACAAAAGGCTTGAAGGACTATTAGGTGGCACAGTAGGTAAGCACATTAGCATGAGAGACAAGATTAATAAGTACACATGAATTTGTTGTCTCACTTTGTCCACATTATGAAACCAGCAGCCAGTTCAGCATGATGGTCCTTTCTTACTCACACACTGGGCTAGTGGAGATACTGCAGGTCAGCACTGAGGTGCATTGTCAGAACTATGCTGTCAGGGATCATGGGTCTTGAATGTGGGTCCTCAGATTGCAGCCACCATTCATCAGCATATTGGTACCAGGAGGAGGGTGGACTAGTGGACCCTAGCTCACCAGAGGCATTGCCTATGAAGCTCTTGATTGGAAGAGATATCCAGCTTCTCTGATTGGCTCAGACTCACTATTTAAGCCAGAAAGGCGGCACAGGAAGTTGTCTCAGAAACTTGTCCCATCCTGTTCCAAACCCCTACTTATATGCCCCCACCCATGGCAACAGACGCTGACTCCAACCTTTGGCTTGACTTCTAACTCCATCTCCGACCCTTGGCTTGACTCTTGACTCTGGTTCTGGTTCTGCTACATTCGCCTCTTGGACCAGATTCTGTGCTCCACTTAGGACTAAATCAAGAATTGCCTCTTCTCTTGTGGATTCCAGGACTAGCTGCTCCAAGAAACAGTCATTTATGGTGTCAAGAAACTTTATCTCTGCATCCTTTCCTGAGGTGACATGTACCCAGTCAATATGGGGATAGTTGAAATGCCCCATTATTATTGAGTTCAATATTTTTATAGCCTCTTTAATCTCCTGGAGCACTTCACAGCCACCATCACTATCCTGGTCAGGTGGTTGGTAGTGTATCCCTACTGCTATATTCTGATTAGTCAAGCATGACATTTCTATCCATACAGATTCTATGGTACCATTTGGTTCATTTAAAATTTGTACTGTATATATTTGTACTATATATATATTGTACACCTTTGAAAGCTTCGAACTTCACCATCTTCGAAAGCTTCAAGTACTAAACCAAAAATGGTAAGCAGCTAAAATATTGTGAGTGACTTTAATGCTAATGGGTATAAAGGACTCATAGCACAGGATAGAGGCAAGCAGAGTACAAAATTTCCTGCATATGTTATGGATTGGGACGAAAGTGGTCATAGTTTGGTTGAAACTATAGTAAAGAACAGAATTATGAGATGCATAGATTAACACAATTTGTTGGGGAAGAGTCAACATGGCTTTTGTAAATGGAAATTCTTTGAGGGGGTCAAACAAACATGTGGGCAAGGGGGATCCAGTGGATACAGTGTACTTGGACTTTCAGAAGGCCTTTGACAAGGTCCCTCATCAAAGGCTCTTCAACAAAGTAGGCAGTCATAGGATAAGAGGGAAGGTCCTCCTACGGATCAGTAACTGGTTAAAAGGAAACAAAGAGTAGGAATAAATGGTCAGTTTTTAGAATGGAGAGCGGCAAATAGTGGTGACCCCTAGGGATCAGTATTGGGGCTAGTGTTGAACAAACATATTCATAAATGATCTGAAAAAAGGGGTAAACAGTGAGCTGGCAAAACTTGCAGACGGTAGAAAATTAGTCACAGTAGTTAAGTCTGAAGCCGACTGCGAAAAGTTACAAATAGGGATGTAAAAGGTTAATCAGTTAACTGGAAAGCATTAGGCTTACCATTAACTGGACCTTAACCATTAACCCCCAGGGCTGGTCATGGCGGGGCCGGGACGGATGCATTGACGGGACCCCGGCCCTCGCTGTGCCGTGCCAGTGGGATACCCCTGGCCACGGCGGGCAGGACACCAGCCCCAGTGAGACACCAGCCCTGGACGCGGGGCTCGGGCAGGCCAGCAGGACCCAAGCCCCAGTGGGCTGGAGGGACCCCGGTCCTGGCCATATCCTGCCGGTGGGACACCGGCCCTGGCTGCACTGGGCTGGGCCGATCGGTGGGATCCTGGCCCATGCTGGGCGTGCTGGAGTGGCCCTGGCCATGCCGGGCCAGCGGGACCCCATCCCCTGCTGCCCCGCGCCGGTCCACCACGGGAGCGACATCGGTTAACCATTGATCGGTTAAATGATATAATTTTAATCGTTAAACCAGTTAATTTTTTTAACCGATATTTACATCTCTAGTTACAAAGGGATATCACAAAACTGGGTAATTGGGCAAAAAAATGGCAGATGAAAGTCAATTTTGATAAAAACAAAGTAATGTACATTGGGAAACACAACCACAACTATACATAGGAAATGGTGGGGTCTACATTAGCGGTTGCCATTCAAGAAAGATCTTGGAGTCACTGTGGATAGATCTCTGAAAACATTCACTCAACGTGCAGTGGCAGTCAAAAAAGCTAACAGAATGTTAGGAAACATTAGGAAAGGGATAGATAATAAGACAGAACATATAATGGCTCTATATAAATCCATGGTATGCCCACATCTTGAAAACTGCATGCAGATCTGGTTGTCCCATCTTAAAAACGATATATTAGAATTGAAAAAGGTACAGAGAAGGGCAACAAAAATGCTAAGGGGTATGGAAAAGCTTCCCATATGAGGAGAGATTAAAAAGACTTGGACTTTCAGCTTCGAAAAGAGATGACTAAGAAGGGATATGATAGAGGTCTATAAAATCTTTACTTGTGTGGAGAAAGATAACAAGGAAGTGTTATTTACTCCTTCACATAACACAAGCATCAGGGATCACCCAATGAAATTAATAAGCGGCAGGTTTAAAACAAACAAAAGGAAGTACTTCTTCACACAAGAACAGTCAACCTGTGGAACTCGTTGCCAGGGGATGTTGTGTAGGCCAAAACTATAGTAGGGTTCAAAAAAGAACTAGATAAGTTCATGAAGGATAGGTCCATCAATGGGTATTAGCCAGGGTGGTCAGCTTACAACCTCATGCTTCTGAGGGCCCCAGCCTCTGATTGCCAGAAGCTGGAAGTGGACAACAGGAGATGGATCACTTGATGATTACCTGTTCTGTTCATTCCCTCTGGGGTACCTGGCATTGGCTACTGTCGGAAGACAGGATACTGGGCTAGGTGGACCATTGGTCTGTCCCAGTATGGCCATTCTTATGTTCTAACATATGCAAAAATTATCAGAGGCTGATGCCAAGGGATTTGGTTTAATGAGAACATAACAATAAACTTTATATTTAAACAGATTTTCACTTAAACACTATAAGTACTTATTCAGAATTTACCATGTGAAATGAGTGACCCAACATCATCAGTACATGCTCCCAGTTTAGTGAGAATATGCCAGAATGCTCTGGTTAGTTCCATTTCATTATCATTCAGCTACATAAATGGGCTGAGCAAGTGAAGCTAAGAAAGAAATCCCTATCTTATCTGCCCATGAGAACGTTGTTTTCCTTTTTTTCTACTACTGTATCAGATTTCTCTCTGAGTATGCTGCAGCCCAAGATTTGTTATAAATGAGCAGTTTTATCTTTCCGATCTAAAAGGAGAAAAATAAAGAAAGCTCAAGCTTTAGATGAGGATGTTTGCATTACATTTTAGGTGATCATTTTAATTTACATGGAGACATGGACAGTACATCATATTTGCACTCAGCGTGCATACATAGCTGATACAGGGAGATGTTGGTCTGTGAGTGATAAATTGGAGGATTGGATAAATTGGACAGTACATCATATTTGCACTCCGCTTGCACACATAGCTGATAGAGATGTTGGTCTATGAGGATTCCCATTCTAAAGGAAAGCTAGGACCAAGAAAGGGACTTTGTAAAGGATGTTCACGCCTGAACAATTAATCATGCTGAACTCTGTAAAACTTGCCCTTATGCCTTATCATGTCATGCATTCATAAAAAGTCACAATTCATTATAGTCTTTTAAGCTAACACACCTCTCATGATTATCTTATATTTATGTGAAGCCCTGAAGATAGCCCTTAAGCAAGAGGAAAGCTTATGCAAGCTACCTGCTTTGATGAAGTATTTGAATTTGAGTTAGCCTGCATGCTGTGTACTGTGTTCACACAACAGCACACTCACACTTTGCCTCCATTTTCCTTCTGGGATATATATAATGCAGAATCGTTCAGGGAATGGAGGAAAATCTGAGCAAGGTAAGCTGCTTATTGTCTCAAATAGTGCCATGTGAAGGATTCGCAACAAAACCCCCTTCCAACCCCAGATTTCAACATCTAGGAATTAAAGGCAAGACATTCTTGGGGAGGGTCTCTGACTCCTCAATTTACTGCCCTCGTGAGCTGGGTGAGCCTGAGTTTTCTGATGTTTGGGGTATGTGTTTCACTAGCCTTGAGCTGGAACGCCAACAACAAACACCCACTAGGAAAATTTGGATTCGGGGGGGGGAGGGGAGCGAGAGTCAGGGGTGCACAGCAGGCCCACCACAGTCCCAGACTCCACGCCCAGGGGATCTAATCACATAGAGTGTTGGGGTTCTTAGGGATTGGCTTGTTTTGGCCTTGTTTTGAAATGGGATTAGCTTGATTTTTGGCTTATTCTGAAAGTTGGGGTGCTTATTTACCACATGAAAGTTGGCAACTGTGCTCCAGCAGCACCTCCATCCACAGTTACATTACGAATTTCCTTTTCTAAGACAATGAAACTCTAATATGTGCATGCAAAGTACATATTAATGAACTACCATCATATGCTTCACTAAAAATGTAGCAGAAAAATACTTTTCATTTATGTAGAACTACCTTGATGTACAGTGTATTACTGATAACCCACAGGTTCTTTGGTATTACAAGTGCCTATTGATTAAAACACAAACATGCATAAGTTGTAAACAGGTGTTTGTCACGAGGATAGTAAAATGTATTCAGTCAGAAATGACCAGAGGATAAGACTTTCCATTGATAACACAGATGCAGTTGCTGCTACCTCATGGGAGCTGGCATCAGGCTTTTCGTCTTCAGGGTAACCACTAGAGGCAAATGATGAAGCTTCCTTTTTTGTTAAAGGACAACTAAATTGAACATTCATCTTCTCAGAAACCAAACCAGAAGAACCAACGGTCTGAACGCTGATTTGAAATGGCACAGAAAGATCCAGATTTTCTAAAATAGTCTGAAATGAGAGGAGATCTCCATTTTAAAATGAGTTTAAGTCATACATTAAAGCAATACTACTATTCATATAGAACTTTATGTAACACATATTAGGCCAATTTTCCACTGGTACAAATGGGCACAAGCTCCTTTGATTTCAATGGAGTTTTGCTTGTTTACATTGCAAAGAATTTGGCCCAGTGTGTGTGCACATATGCCCGTGTAAAATAAGGGGGCAATGGGACAGGGTGAAATGGTATAAAGGTTTTATCAGCATAAGATTGGGATGTTCACATTACTCATTAGTGTCAAAACCACTCGTGAGTAATGCAGGTCATCCCAAGCTCATCCCAAGAAAGCCTTTGCACCATCCCCACCCCCCGTTCACATATTCTGTATATGTCATGTTACATAAGAAAACATTTTACACATGTTTAGAAAGATTTTAAACTATCTTCTTCTCATCTTTCCCTTTTGGTGGGAAGGCAAAGCACCTATTGGCTGCCTGGGTGCATATGTGGGCCCTGGAACCCAGCTGTAAAAGGCTCAGAGGGAGTCATAAAACCCTTAAAAAGAGCTCTAAAAGAGCTTTTCCATTCCTAAAAACGTCACTGCTGTCAAGTCTGTGATCTCAGTCCCTTCTAGGGCTAGAAACTATTAGATTGTTTTCTTATTTTGTTTTTTAATGGCAGCTGTTTGAAGTTGCTCAGTGGTCTGGAATGTTGAAATAAGTCCTCAGAGTAGAGTGCAGGCAAGGCAGTCAAGGGTGCACAATAAATTTATTTCTCACATATCTCTGCAATTTAGCAATGTCTCCTCTACCTAATGCATATTACCTACACATATGTTGTATATACATAAACAGGAAGATCAAGAAAAACTAATCCACATAATCAGTTCTGTTAAAATAATTTCCAATTGATAGACTACACTTGGAGTTCATTACAAAACATGTTTAAAAGACCAAATAACCAAACATTGTAAATTTATTGTCTACAGACAAAGCAGTACAGTACAGAAAGGAAAGCGCTAATCCCATACTAATCCTTCTGAGAAGCTTGTTTCTCACAGCATGTAGTTCATCTTACATAGAAGATGTACTTCAAAATATGTCCCTCGAACCACTTATATTTATAGCACAGTTGCTTATAAATTTGAAAGCAACTTATACGTCACTTAAGATCCAACCCATAAGTTTGTACCAGTTCCTTAACTTGTTCTGTACCTTTCCTTATCTCTGTTTTGGATATTACACTTTAAACCAGTTGCTCATGAAGGTACCTGTACTAGGACATAGAACAGATGTATCTCACATTTGACAGACTTTATATTTGCTAATGCCAAAAGCTACATTGAGCTTTGCAAAGTATATATATCTCTTGACGCATGTGAACAAAGTGAACAGAGTTGTGGGAAAGATAGATCATTCAGTTAACATAACTGACTACATACTGGGCATAATACAATATTAATATGATATGCCCTACAGCTAACTAGCATATATATATTGGCTAACGGTCACTTAAGAAAAAGCATACTATTTAATTTTTAAAGGCAATGTGTTCACCAGAACACACAAGGATACTAAATACACAGTAAACACATACTTATTTATAAATTTCATACTGAGTCAAGAACAATTAAGATGTCTGGAAAGAGAGACATGTATGAAAAGCATGGCTGAATGTTCCATGATATTACATGAAACAAATTACTTGAGTCACATGTTCAGTTAATCTCTGCCGGCCTAACATGATAGCGCTGGTCTCTGTATACTTTCAGTAATAACAGGAAATGATACTATGAAATTGCTGTCAATAGCTGACTTGGAATGCGACGGCATTAAAACCCAATGATCGATGTTGAAATGACTAACCAGGAATCATGCTGGTGGAAGGAAGCTGACTCGTTCTCACCTGTGGTTATGAAAAGCCACAAAGCATCTGATGGCAGATTTTCAAGAGGTGATAAGAGAGAAGCACAGAAACTCCAGGTGGAATTAATGTGTGCTTGATGATGCGCAGCATATATGATGTTTTGGGAACTGACCTTGCTGTGTCTTGCAACTCATAAGCAACCCAGTAGACCGGGTAAAATAAGCAACCATATCCTCAAAAGAATTTCAGGCAAATGATTTAGGAGATATATATGTAATACCAGGTACAATTATCTTGTTTCAAGTTCCTGCTCTTCACTCTAACACAACATCCGTGATTATTTCTATTAGTTATATTGCTGCAAAAGGATGATGCTAAGAAGCACCATCTTCAAAAATGACACTGTAATCAAGGAAATAACATACCCCCCATCACTGCACTGTCTACGAAATTATGCAGCCCAATGGTTTCTCCAAGTTAAATACTGATAACAAATAATATCTTTCCACAAAAAAACTCTGCTTACCTTAGTGCAGGCTGAACTCATAACAGATTTGTGAAATTCCCCATCTGTATATATCTGCAGTGTAATATAAAGTTCAGTTAAAGGTTAATGAGAAAATAAATAGCTTGTTTAAATTACCTAATGTAGGTTGTGGAGGCTATTTGGAAATTTACCTACTGTAGCTGTGAATTTTTAGATGCTTATTCAATAGCGATTTACATTTTACTACGTTTCATTTAGGGTGACTTGATTAAGTGGGATTAAGAGGCACATACCCTTGTACTGGCTCTCTGCCAATGATTTCACAGGAGATCTATGACACTGGCAACGTGGAGGGTGTTCACATGGGTAACTGCCATTGACACTAGTCTATGAAAGAGTAACTTGTGTACCAAAAAACTCCAGCCTTTAAACATATTGGTCCAAATCCTAAAGTCTTTGCACTGATTTTACTCCGGGCCAGATTTTAATGGGAGTTAGGCACTTACCCTTCTTAGGCAATTTTGAAAATCTACTAGGTACCTATCTGCATCTTTAGGCACCTAAATACCTTTCCAAATCTGATCCTCAGTTCTTTTTCAAGCAAATGCCAACTGAAACCAGTGGCTAAGGGCTTGTTTATAATGCCCTGCAGTTCAGATTATGAGGCTGTGAATTGCAGTGCACACTAACACACTGTGCACTAACTGCCCTATGTGGTTGCTGCTGGTGCAAATTCAAAAGTTCCTAGTTTGTGTTAACAGAGTCCTGTTTGAAAGAGGACTGCATTAAGGAGAACTAGGTACCTTTTAGTTCACTCCAGCAGTGTACACAAAGGTCAGTTAGAGCGCAACAATTTGCTGCACTCTGCAATTCACACCTCTATAGTCTGCACTGCAGTGCAGTGTAGACGTAGCCTAAATAAAGACCACAAGCCATGTTCTACCACACTTATGCATCACAAGCAGTAATTGATTTCAGTGGGACTATTCAAAGAGTAAGGGACTATTCAGCAGAAGACGACGCTGAGAAAGGGCTTCAGGGTTTGGAGCATTGTTTTGCACTTGCCACAGAGTTCCCACAGGAGTACCACAGTGCAAAGACTTTACACAAAAAAATCTTCTTGTTTTTTTTCAAAATTTCCAAAGTCTAGTACATACACAAGAGTAAATTGGGAAATGTAAATAGCATTCCAAAACGACTGCCCTAAAGTTATGACACATGTAAGGTACAATTTAAGGCAGTTTCAAGTAAAGCCCACATATATAAAAATATATACCTATGTCTGCCATAAGCCTGCAAACTATATACTTACTGTACTTTGGAGACTGCACCTGCTCCTGGTGAAATCAAGAGGAGTTTTACCATTGTCTTTAATAAGACATGATCAAGTCCTTGGTTAGGAGATTGCAATCACATCCCTTTAAAAATTCATCAGTGAGCTCAGCCTATATATACACATGAATTCAGGTGCAGGCATGAATAAAAGAAATGTGTGATAACTTATTACTCTCACAGAGACTACAGTAAGGGAGATGGGAAGGCAGGGAAAGCATCTCTTTAAAAATTGATTAAGCATATAATTGATGTAGGAGAATTATTAATATTATACCATTTTATCTACAGCAAATAGAAACAAAATATACCATAACAGCCACAGGTCTTAAATGGATTAATCATTGGTACAAATGGGATGATATATATTACACAATCACAAATTGATAATGGAATAGGCTTTCCAAAAGTCACTTCAAAGGGGAGTTGTTCATAGCTTTTTAAAGAAAAAAGATACAAATTTATACCTATTAGAATAATTGGATAATAGTTAATTGAGTTTATTCTTGCCAGGTTACAGTTCAACATCTTTTTTCCCCCAAATGATGGCAAATATAATGAAATTATATTCACCCCTTATTCTGGACATGTAACTCACATTAATGTTACATGTTCTTATTGAGGTAGCATGTTATATTGCAGAGCATCATATGTTATTGACAACCAATGTCTTGTATATCCATGTATAACTATGGCAAATGAAATATTTTTCTTATTGCATTAGCATATTTTATATTTCTGATTAGAGCCATTTGCACCCTAGAATTATGAAGGGGGAAACTACTTACTAACTTCCTTCTCCTGAAATGAGTTAGAGAGAGAGGCAAAATGTATCACAACAAGTGGCAATTCAGCATCCAGAGAAAAACAAAGAACTGGAGCGTGGAGACTGAAGTACCCTGTTCCCCTGAGAAGTACCTGCCTTCCAGGTCTGGAGAAGCCTGCACTGTATTGCTGACCTGCTCTGCAGATATATAAAGGATTTCTATCTTCAGGGCTATCAATCTGGCACCTTGTACAAAAATTAAATTCACTTAAAAATAAAGTAGAATCAATTTCCCTCATTATTATGGGCCAGATTATGATACCTTTACTCATGTTGAGTAGTCCTTCACTTCTCAACTAGCCCTATTCAAAGGATGACCCAGTGGTTAGGGCAGTAACCTAGGATTTAGGAGACCCAGGTTCAATTCCCTCATCTACTACAGATTTCCTATGTGATTAAGACAAGTCACTTAGAGTACCTCTGTACCCATCTCTAAAATGGGGATAATAGCACTGCGCCACCTCACAGGGGTGTTATGAGGGTAAATACATTAAAGAGTGTGAGTAAGGGGGGCTATAAAAATACCTACAATAGACAGATATTGAAATATTCAGCAAACCCAATGTAAGTGTAGCAGAATCAAGCTCCATTAATGTATCTGCAAAGTGCAGACAATGAGCTTTTCACAAGCATTGCAGAAAACACAAAACGAAGAATTTGAAACCTAAACTTCTGCAATTAATAATGACCCCTCACTATTTCTAGGTTCATTAAATGGGAATTTTAAGTTTAGTTAGACCCTTGAAAAAGAAATACTCTTAAATGTCATTTTAAAATGTTATGATATTTAAGCAATATCAAGACTAATACTGGAGAGCATATTATTTCTACTTGTTTTTTTTTCTAAATTAAACTCAGTAGCTTTTGTGTTGATAATCTTTGAACAAGAGTGTAAGATCTGCCTTAGTAATAAAAAATGACTTTATGGATTTTATTGAGTGTTTACAAATCAATGTGCTGTACTAGATAGCATCCAAATATTAACACTGAGTATTTGAAACAAAAAAATTAAGCATGCGAAAAAAACTACTCAGGAATATTAAATAAATGTTTCCTATTTATCACGGCATAAAGCATTTTATGTAGTGTTTTACTTTGTATTTAAACATACCCTGTATCCTGTAATGAAAGTTCCATTGCTACATCCTAATTCATCTACTACAGGTCTCTCCCAGCCAATCATCATGCTGCTTTTTCCCACTGCTTTAATAATATAGACCGAACCAACTGGAGCAGGAGGTCCTAGAGAGAAAACATAAAAGTAATGCAGCAAGAAGTTTCTGTCCAACAGCTTTTTAAACCACTGAGATAGCATGGTCCTAACAGTGGTAAGCTACCTTTTTCTCTCCAACAACAACCAGGAACAGGGTATCATGTGCACACCTTCAATAGTATAAATTCTAGAGGGTATATGGACACTGACATTCTATGTCTGTCCTTCCTTTTATTCCAAAAATAACATCCTTAACAACAAAGTTCAAATGGGCTTGCAGACCTGGACAAAATAAAAGGGAGGTGAACCAGTTGCTCTCAATGGGGCATTATAAATACAATGGAACTGACCAAATCTAAAATGTTGTTATGAACAAATGTTGTATGTAGTGTTGGTCCCAGGATATTAGACAGACAAGGTGGGTGAGGTAATATCTGTTATTGGACCAACTTCTGTTGGTGAGAGAAACAAGCTTTTGAGCTTACACAGAGCTCTTCTTCAGGTCTGGGAAACATACTCAATGTCACAGCTAATTAACAGATGAAATAGATTGTTTAGTATAAATAGTTAACACATATTTCAAGGGACCATTAAAGGTGCAGTGGCCAGGTAACAGCCCTCCAATCACAGGGAGGAAAGAAACGGGAGGCGGGGAGGGCGGAGGCAGCTGGGGCAACTGTTATGAACAAGTGAAATTTCATTGTCAGATAATGACAGACTCAGCACTTCCTGGCAACCACTCTAAGTCTGGAATTTCAGAAAGCTCTTGACACCACACCAATATGGTTAAAATTGTTATAGGCCAAATTGTGGCCTCCTCATAGACTAGTCAATGCCACTCTCCTGCACTGTTAAACACCTTTCACAATGCTGTTCCATTCCTGTATCATCAACCTTATTGAAAAACATGCAATTGAGTGGAACGGAGCAGTTGGTACTTTGAACCCATTCTTACTTTCCTTGTGCACAGAAAACACCCACTAATATTAAGCAGGAGCTGGTCCTTTGCTGCTTTTCACTTGCTTAGAGAGGGAAGGGAGTTAATCTTTATAGCCCCAATTCAGCAAAGCATTTCAAGCAAATGCTTAACTTTAAGCAAGTGAGTAATTTCATCCCTTGTCAGAAAAGCTCTCAAGTTGCATTGTAAACTTAAGCACATGCTTAAGAGTTTTGATGAACTGGGACCTATGTTTTTATTATCAAAATTTGCTTAATTTTTTTATAATTAATTATTAGTAGTAATATCACTATAACTTCCCTTCTTATTTCTCTTAACTTCCCTTCTTATTTCTCTATCTCAGGTAATCAGAAAAGCTTTGTTACTCATCTTTGTTCCTAATTATATCCAGTAACTAGCTTTTCACATTGAAAGCTACATAGTCTGTAATCATTTTGATCAAACTGTTGAGTCATGCATGCTCCATTTGATTGCTTCAATGAAGAATGGTTAAAGGAGACTCCTATGTAACAGTCAAGCAGTAGAAATATCAAGGAGAAAAGCAAGAATATATTGTAGAAAATAAAGCAAACCTGATAATGTCTGAGAAAGAGAGCTGACAAACCCTCAGTGCATTAATTTATCAGAGAAGGCTGACCCTGCAATCACAATAATGAATGACAGAACTCCTCTGTGCTTACATAGGAGCAAAAGCAGGACTTAAAAATGTAGTAACCCTCAAAGGCCTAATTTAATACAGATAGAGAAGGACAGATGAGATAATACGAAACCCTAAAGCTGGAAGCCCATATCTGAACTCTGAGGAGCTGAAAGAGAGGGTACTCTGAGCCTGGTTTTACCTTTGACTCTGAAATTCACTTCCCCATTAGTGTGAAATTGAATCTGAGTCAATGATCTTCAGAGTTAGTTTTAAGGCCTATCTAATCACTCAGGCCTCGATCCTTGGCATCTGTTCTGGCTGCTTTGCCCTGAAACAGCACAAAGCAGCTGGAGAGCTCTCCAAAAGAGGTAGCTGAGGAGTCCCATGACACAGAGGAATCCTAAGTGATATGAAGTAGCCTGTGGCAAATGGAGGTCAGCTAGCACAGAGAAGCAGGCCCAATCAGAACCATAGAGACTAGTTCTTCTATCCCGCATTTACTGTTGTCTCCCCCCCACCCCACCCTTCATCTATCGTTGTCTATGAGTTGTCTAGCAAACTGCAAGGCCCCGGAGGCCAGGAACTTATCTTTTCACAAGGTTCACACCTCCCAAATACAGAAGAGTTTGGTTGTGAGCTGGAATTAACCCCATGGCTGTACTTTATCCTTTTTAAATTTAAGAAGGGGTGGGGGACAAAAAACTGGCCATTAAACTAGTGCCTGCAATTCTGAATGAAGAAGATTTTGGGGCATCATTTTGGGTGCCTAAAAACATGCATTGACCATAAATAGCAGGCACCAGATTCACTGTTCTGGTTGTGGCCATTTTGAAAATTTGGTCAAAGATGCCAACAGTTAATAAGGCCTACCTTTGGTGGCTGCCAGACGGAACCAGGCATATATTCTATGTGTACAAGTGGAATGCTGTTTATTTGTGAAAGTAAATTTAGTATAAGAAGTGCTTCAGGAAACACATGAGTATTTGTCTAAAACGTATCGTGACAATTTCCAGGCAAGAAATTTAAAAAAATGTCTATTTGGTGTCCCCAGATACCTCTAGGATACACCAGCTGAATACTTAAAGAATGCAACTGCCTGGGAAAGCATAAATCAAGCTTCAAGGAAATTATTCCTAAAACTGCAGCATCAGTCGCCTGAATGCTGTCACCATCAATCTACCCAAAGCATGACCTTGGGACTTCCATAGATGTTGGCCTATCGATTTTGCTCAGCTCCTTAGGCTGGCTGCACTACTGTGTATTGATGTCTTTATTACATTTCACCTTTCTCGGTTTTCATATTTTTGTGGTATAAATTAAATAGAAAGAGTCTGTACATTTGTGTGAATTATGACTCCAGGGCAGTGACAACAGTATTCACGTCCAGGACCAACTATGGGATCATGCTTTTTATTGCATGTTCCGTTTGCACAAACAATTGGAGTTCGTTCCCTTTTGTAATACGTGAAGAATGGTCTGGATCCTCAGGTGCACCCAGTAAGTGCTGACCACAGCTAAGAGAGAAAAATGCAAAGGAGCCATTCACAATTCCCTGATCCTGGGGCAATTTTGGGTACGTCTACACAGCACTGTGTGCCAGTGCTGCCACCTACTCTGCCTGTAGGACAACACACCAGGAACACACTCTCTGTTGAGCTTGTGTTCCAGTGGGTTCCTTCCCCAGTGACTGCTTCTGGAACACCTGTCAGAGAGTTTCCACAGTCCAGACAGTATTTATTATGTAGATGAGAATTCCCGGTCAGTTAGGATGCCATCCTCCAGCTTCCAGCTTTCCATATAACTGAACCTAAATCCTGCAGAGAGGCTTTTGCAGGGGAAGTTGGTAATGACACTGCAGAAGTGATGTTCCTATATTCCTTGCCTCCCCTGCCTGCATCTGCTGGTTACTCCTGAGGATATTCTGTGACCAAAAAAAAAAAAATCTGCACCAAAAAAAAAAAAAAAGAATTCTGTACACAATATTTTAAAATTCTGCAAAATTCTGCAAATTTTATTGTCAAATAAATGTGGAGGGTCCAGCATGGCACAGGGACAGAATAGGCCACTGGCTGCACAGAGGTGGGAGATCATTGTGCAGCTCCTCCCGGGACATGGACTCAGCGGTTAGGCTGCACCCAACCCTGACACAGCGTGAGGACTGGGCCTGCCCCAGAAACACCCCACAGCCCTGCCCCTCTGTGCCAGGCGCATCAGGTGTGGGCAGGCAGGCTCAACACGGAAGGATCTAAGTGTGGAGGGGCTTAGTGTGGGAGGATCCAGGTGTGGGTTGAAAGGGGTTATGTGTGGGGCAATCTGGGTGCAGGTCTCTCGGTGGGGGATCCAGGTGCAGGGGGGGGTCTGGATGCATAGTGGCTTGTTGGGGGGTTCTGGGTGCAACGGTAATGGGACTCTGCAGGGGGGTGCAGGTGGTTGGGGCTCAGTGGCAGGGGGGTTTGGGTGTGGGTAGGATAGAGCTTGGCAAGGGGGTATGGGTGTGGGGGGCTCAGTGGGGGTCCAGATGCAGCTGGTAGGGGCTCGGTGGAGTGGAGATCCGTGTGCAGGTGGCTTGTCTCAGTGATCCAGGTGCAGGGGGAGTGGCACCCATCGGCGGGGTTCTGAGTGCAGGGGGGTGAGTCTCGGCAGGAGAGTCTAGGTAACAGGGGGTCTGGATGTACAGGGATCCCTCCCCCTGCAGCTGTGGAGTGATGGTTATAGGAAGTAAGGGGGAGAGTTTGCAGAGCTTCCTTAAGCTGGGGGAGAAATCTGGGGGTGGGTCTGACTCACCAGATGCTGTGCAAGGGAAGAGGAAGTCCCGTCTTCCCCAGCCCAGCTGGGACTAGCTGCTGAGCCCAGCGCAGGGTAGGAGCCACCAGCTGGGTCTTCCCCAGTCCCTCCTCCTGCCCCACAGTGATTTACCTCTCTACCAGCTGTCCTGGGCCCTCAAAACATACTGCTGGGGAGGGTTTCATGACCGCTCTTGTGGCTTCCCTTTGCTTCCTTGTCAGTCATTTTTCTGCGGGGAAGCAAATAAATCTGTGGGGGGCATAAATTCTGTGCATGTGCAGTGGCGTAGAATTCCCCCCAGGAATAACTGGTTCACAGAGGCATTGGGAATAACTTGGCCCTCACAAATAATCAAGAGTGATGGAGCTGAAACAAGATTTGAGAGAAAAATTTCCTTAGGTCTTTACTGTGGAGCATCTTTTGCTGACAATTCAGGATTCACACATGTTAAGGATGGAAAGAAACTCCTAGATCTGCTGCCCCATTGCAAGGCATGGGGCAGATCCTAAAAGCAACCCCAATAACTAATTTTGAAATCTATATTTTAAACCACATGGTGCTCTTAAGAATATCCTGGTGATCTGTATGTGCAAGGGCTTGGTTGCAGCATGTGGGGAGCTTAGAGGGGTTGACTTAAACATAGACTT